GGCATTCACAACCCACCTGGACCCACCGCACCAGGGCAGTGCCCTCGGGGCGGCGTGGCCCGCATGTCCCGTCACCCCGGGCACAGACAGCCTGTCGATCTGCTCGCCTCCATGAGAGGCAGCCTTGGCCCAGGGCACAGGGGTAGTGGAAGTGCTGCTGCCCCCAGGAAGGCGTCCAGGAAGCAGGGCCCCTCGGACCAGCTGGAGTCCTGGGGACCTTGCCGGGATTGAACAGGGCCAGACCTGTGCCACCCTCGCTGGGAGGAGCCGCCCCACCCTCTGCACGGGGGCAGACAGGAAGCGCCTCTCAGGGGTGCACAGCCAGCGCAGGGCCAGACCCAGCGGCTCCTCTTCCTGTGAGCCCTGCACCCACGCCACTCGGGGGAGACACCGGGACCTCGGAGAGTCCAAGGCTTTTTCCCCATCAAAGGGCCCCAAGGCCCTGCCCAGAGCCTCCCTGAGGCCCGGCTGCCACACCCTGGATCTACAGGGCGCCCTGGAACTAATGCCCTTGGAAACATCCTCCCAGAGCTGCTGGGCAAGGAAAGGCTGCAGGCGTCCTCATGAAATGATAATAAAATCTCATCTCCTCTTCCAGAGCAGTATGAGCTTTAAAGTGCTTGATGGAAGTAAACTATTAAGGTTTGTTCACCATTCAGGAAAAAGCACCCGACACGACACACACGGCTGGAGATTTAAACTCCTCTCTGAGTTAGAGTGTGTGCCTGGAGCCCAGGGCAGGGCTGGGGAGCGGGGGATGGGGGGGGTGGGGTGGGGATGGGGGCGGGGTGGGGGGAGGACGTGCCAGCTCTCAGTGGAGAACGTGGCAGTCACCCACCAGCACCGCGCGCACCCTGGAGGTGTCTGTCCCTGGCGGGGGGTGGCCAATCCCCGGGGTGGGAAACACCTGTGCAGCCTGAAGGAGCAGGAGCCAGGGAGGTGTCCGGGCAGGGAGGGGGTCAGCCAGGACTGCGTCCACCCTCAGGTGAGCTGGAACCACGGCAACCTTTGGGGTTCCACTGGCGCCTCCTCGCCTGCTTTGTGTGGAGACTCCGACCCTCTTCCCTGGGTGCCTTGGCAGAAGAAACTTTAAGCAAACAGACTAAGAAACACTAAGGATTAAGTAAAGTCCTGAGAATCAGGTTGTCGGCCAGTCTCCTGCCGGCGCTCCCTCCGCCTTGGGCAGAACCGGTCTGGGTCTGGGGCAGGGGCGGTGTGAGGCGGGGCTGAGGCTGGTGTAAAAGCTGAGCCTGGGGCAGGAAGGCACAGTCACCAGAAGAGAGGGAGGTCCTGGGCCGGGCCGAGAACCGGCGCCTCGCTGTCCTGGCTGAGCACAGGGGGAGGCCAGGAGAGGTGCCTTCTAGAGAACCCCTCTCCTCCCACCTGGTGTGAGCCCCCCGAGGACACACGCTTTACTTTCAGTGAGACAAGCAAGTCACACAACACTGAAGAGGAACTTCCCGTTTTTATTAAAAGAGAGACGACGTGTGCACACCTGTGAGCCGAGTGGAGGTGGGAGAGGAATTCTGTATCCTCTAGCCCCTTCAATAGCGACTGGATGTTTTAAACAGCTGATATGTGCGCCCACGGTATGAAAAAAGAGACCATTTACAAACTCAGCATCCCTTTCCCCCGACCCACGACGCTGCCCTTCCCCGCCAGGGTGTCCCAGGACACGGAGCGGCAAGGCTCCTGTGGAAGGAGGCCGACCGGGCCATGCAGGTAGAGCAGCAGCCTCGCCCGCTGCACTCCGGGGCGTCGCTTAGAGCAGGGCAGCTGGGGCTGCCTGAGGGAGGGCCCTGCCCAAGGCAGAGCCCGCAGACCTCCCCGGGCCAGCTGGGAGCCCTCGGGGGCCGGAGGGCCGTCCTGCAGCCTCCGAGCACTGGGCGAGTTCTTTCTTAAAGACACTTTACAAAAATACTTTGTAATTGAGTTTAATAATCTTCCCCCTTCCAGAAAGGGCCTGACAGGCGCTGCCTGCTGCTCACTTCTGCCCCATTCCAAATATTTTTACCTTATTTGGATGAAATGCATTATTTTTCTAATGAAAGGCTTTTTTTTTTCCAAAGGGCTGTTTTCCCTCCGTCCAGCAGCTGCCTTTATTAGGTAGCACTCACGCCGTTTGGGGAGGGGTTTTTCCCTCCCTGGAATCATGCCAGACTCTCTGTCCTCAAAAGCTGAAATCGGGCGCTCAGGACCCGCAGGGCAAAAGGCCCCCGGGCCCAGGTTTTCATCCCTTTCTCCCGCAGTGAGCCCGGGGACCTGCGAGACAACCGGCCCTCCAGGTTGGGGAAGACACACCCCACAAGGTCCCCCGAGTGCCCGCTGCCCTGCGCTAGCAGCTCTGGCTGCGTCTCCGTCCCAGGCTATCTGCCCTCTGCCACCACCACCGCCCCCCCGCCCCGCACGGCCCCGGTCTGGTCCCACTGCAGGAGGGACCTCTGCAAAGTTAGAGGCCACGAGAAACAGTCACCAAGTAGAGGGGGACACCCTGAGACGGCCCATGCAGGACACAGGCTTCCATTCCCCGAGGAGGGCAGACCGGGGAAACCCCGTCTCCGGCCCCCGAGGCCCAGGGGTGCTTCCAACCGAGCCACCAGCCCTCCCTCTGCCTGTCATCCCAGGTCCGTCTGCCTGCCTGGCTCCCGGACGCTGGGCCCCTCGTCCAGACCAGGCTGGGAGCCCCTGGAGATGGAGAAACCTGGCTTCTTCGGGGATGGCAAGAGGCAGAGGTGACTCAACGGCGGGGTGTGTGTGTGTGGGG